AAAGGGTCTTAAGTATTTCAGTGTCATCTACTGAGTAAATAGTTGATAAAATTCAATATTCAGCACATTTTCTTGTATATATCACAAGCTTAGTAATTAGTTGAGATTTGTTATTCAATTTTTAAGATATTTTAATCATTCTTAAAAAAATCTCATCTTTGTAAATGGGATTATTTATTTTCCCTGAATATTTTAGAGGCAATTAATGTCAAGTATTTGTGGTTTTTAATGCAAAGTTATGTTGTTTATATCTTTCTAATCTGAGGTTATGTATTACTCATTTTGAGACTGTTTAAGGGGAAAAAGATTGACTTGATTTAAAAATGATGACATTTCTGAGATGTTAAAATTGTCAGCAATTACACAAATCATTGGATATTTGAGAAATAACTGCTGTATGGTAAGAATTTTTAATTCATTTTCCACCTAAGATTTCTATTTCCCACATCATGACCAATAGTATAAAAAATAAGGAAAAGTGTTTTGTTTTTACACTCTTAGGATTGATCAGAGCATGTTTGGTAGAGTGACTGATTGAAAGACAAATAGATGTGAAATTTATAAAGAAACTTTAACATCACGTATCATTTCTTATTGTTTTAAAGGAGGGTGCGTCGGCCCGTAAGACTCAGACTCCTGCGGCACAGCCAGTACCTAGACCAGGTAAAAACAAGATCTTTTCCCCCAAATGGTCACAAGAGTGGTCATGCTTTCAAGGACCTGAAACTTTACTTCAAATACTTCTCAAGTGATCTTACAGAACATTTACAAAACAGTAGGATAGTTGAGGAGTTAAAGAAAATTTTAAGTAAATGATTTTAAAATGTTTCAGGAAAATGTTTTAAAAAGCAGAGTATATGTAGCACCCCTCACCAATTCCTTGTTTGAGTTCCGTGATGGTGCATGTGGATGTGATTTCCCAAACCCCCCTAATCATAGAGCAGAAAACCATAGTTTTAATAGATTGGTATACAGCTTTGATGCTTAGGACTTCAGATGTCTGTGTTATTTAGCACATAAGGTTCTGTAATCGTTTTTTAAAAATGTGTTAAGCAGAGGCAGGGACTGTACCTGGCGAGGCCCACGTACGTGTCCAGTGGACTCAGCGGCACAGGCCTTTGCTCAGCTGAGCTTGCTCCCGGCAGCCCTTCCCTCTTCACCAGGGGAAACCCGCACACACACTGTCCCTCGCCCTCTTCCTGGTGCACACCGCACTCCAGGCCCCCTCTCCCCCCAGCTGTCCCTCCTGCCTTCACTCCCCGGGTCTCGGAGGTGGGTCGGCCGCCTATGGCTCGTGTACCTCTCATTGCTCGTGAGAGACGGACAGCCCTGTGTGTGTGTCAGATTCCTCACGCGGTCCAGGCATCCACTTTACCACCTACATGTGGCTCACAGTACCTCACCGTAGTTTTAAGTTGATGTTCTGGTCATTTTTCAGTTTGTGTCTCTGGTTCAGACATCTCTTCCGAGGTCTGGCATCCCACATTAACTGGCTAACATTTGGGTTTGCCACAGGCGTCTTAAAACTGATGGAAAACCTTTGTTCCCTGATATTTCCCCCGATGGCTGACTTCACCCTTCCTGCTTCGTACATAAAGGGCACCACCATCAACTCTGTTTCTTAAGCCAGAACCTTCTTAGGAGGTATTCATTCCTCACATCGGCTGCTCTGCCAAGGGCCATTGGATATTTATTACCTCATTCGCTGGCCACACAGAATGATCCACTTAAACATTAGCTGCGATATCTGGTCAGACATTTAATGAACTCACCCCTCTAAGCCTTGGCAGGGCCAGACCACATGATTCCTTGGGCCTCCCAGGGCCCCGGCTGGCTGTCCCCCCTGCCTTTCAGCAGTGTGCCTGAGGGGTTCGTCCGTGGCTGGGATTTCTGGTCCCCACAGAGCATGTACAGGCGGAGCAGGCAGTGCTTACTCAGAGGACCCTGGACGGGGAATTGCAGAACCAGCCCTCATCCTGCCCCCCAGGACTTGAAGTAGCCGCAGAGCAGGCTGGTTAACACCCGCGACTGAGCTCGTCATCTATAATCACAGATAATTCTCAGGCTTTACTTGCTTTTTAAGCTTGAAAATAATGTGATTTTTATAACATTCAAAAGTTTGCTTTTTATTTTTTTTTCAACAGTTTCTCAAGCAAGACCTCCTCCTAATCAGAAGAAAGGTAAGATTCTGCAAATGATTCTAAATGTATTTTACAAAGTAAATGTGAATAAGCGAGATAACAGAGCTGGGCTACTATTCTGCCTGCGCACTTGTATCGAATGCGTGTGTTCGGTATCTATTCGGATTAGTAGGTGCATAGGTCATACTGACTGTTAAGAATCATTGATCGGCTGCCTCCTGCACGCCCCCCACTGGGGATCGAGCCTGCAACCTGGGCATGTGCCCTGACTGGGAATCAAACTGTGACCTCCTGGTTCATAGGTTGACACTCACCCACTGAGCCACGACAGCTGGCTGATTGTTCAATATTTTGAATATTGCTGCTGACTTAAAGTGACTTTTGGGTCAAAAGGGCGAAAATTATACATTTACAAGCTTTTGATTGGGAAAGCAATTATAATTCCTTTTCATAGTAATAACATGTTTACTACCTTCAAAAATGTTGTCTTTGCAGGTTCTCGCACACCCATTATCATAATCCCTGCCGCTACCACCTCTTTAATAACTATGCTGAACGCGAAGGACCTGCTGCAGGACCTGAAGTAAGGGATTTGTTCAGCTCTCTGTTCACCGAGTGTGCAGACACTGAATTAGCAGTACCATTCTGTAGTTCTTATTTGGAGAATACCAAATTTCAATTTCTGCTATACAGGTAGTCTGAAATATAATTTTCAAAATAGGATATAGTCTTTCATATCTGGATCCTTCCATTCACTGTGAGAATGGCAATAATATTTTATAATTTGAATGGTGTTACATTTAAAATTCTTGTTAAATATTTTTAGTTGTAACTAGGAAAATATATTCACTCAGTCACATATCTATGGGAGGAGTGTGAGTGAATGCTCTGTCTTTCTTAGTAAAATAACGATAAATGACAGTTCTTAGAGAAGGAAAAAGAATAATCTCACCTCCAAAACAGAATTCAGACTGCTTCTAATGAAAAGCCAGAAGCAAAATGAGCTGTGGTACTTGCTGATTTTAGGTTTTACCAACTGCAGAATTCACTTTTATATGCCTGCGACTTCAATTAGACGTATAACAATCCATGTAACCTGGCATATACAAGTTTATCCATTCATTAAGTATTTTTTCCTTATACCTTTGAATGAAATTTTCAATGATCTTTCCATTAACAGTATGGAATAAAGGAGTTTTTTGAATTGATTTATTGGGGCAACATTGGTTAATAAAATTACAGGTTTTAAGGGTACAGAAGGAACATTTATGTTTTGTATTTTATATTTTATTGGGCTTGTATAGTGAAGTTGGCTGTTCTGACCGTGTGTGGATTACTCTGGTAATCTACCATCCCTCACATTATCGACAGTTGGGTGAATAAGAAATAGAATCATTTTCGTCCACCTCTTGACATAGCTCTGATAATATGAGATGGTTAGACCCACGTGAACATGGTTTTGATTAACTACTTTTAAAAAATGTGTTGTTTTTATTTGAGTATGCGCCTGTTTTTCACCTTCTAATCAGTGTGCGAGAATGGGTCGTGCATCGTTTATTCTCTGTGAAATAGGAAACGCCTCTATTTCTTGGTTCTGTTTGGTGCAGGCTCCGTGTCTTGCAGTCTGGCACCCAGTCTTTTCCAGCCATGTTGTGATTTCCTCAGAGAAAGGGACTCGTTGTCTTGTTCTTCTTTGTGTCTCTCCTGTTTGAAACAGTTGTTGCCTAATCACGGGCGCTGAGTAAGTGTGAAGGAAGGAGGAAGGAAGGAGGGGAGATGCACCGAGAGCATGGGAGAGTGGTAGACTGCATCTGACACTGTGCTCGCTGTGAATTTATTAGCGGACTCATCTCTGGGTGTAAGCTCCTTCTCAGTACCTGGCGGTCACGTCTGCACCTGTGACGGAATCAGTTCCCAGCAGGTGTCCTCACACTTGGGGTTGGGCTCTTTGCACTTACTGTATTTGGCTCTTTACAGTGTTTTCTAGCTCTTGCGTTTTTATGATTTGTGACTTTGGTATTTACGGTTCTCATGATTTTTAGTAATTGACAACTGTACTTTTATAAAGGTGTCTGCATGGTTACAGAAAATTTACAGTAAGTTTTTGAAATGTTACAAAGGAAATTCTGCCTTTAATTTTTCATTTTCTGAGTCTTTGTGGTGCCTCTCTGCATATATTACAGATCTAATACTTACATATTATTTTATAATAGAAGGCATCGAATAGTGCAAAGAAAACCACACAGTGAATTTTAGTATCTTTCTCCTTCGTCGTGTTGCAAAGAAGCCAACAGTCCAACAGCCACATTCTCAGGGCTGACCAGGCCTAATGGTCCTCCCAAGTTTGGAACACTCCCTTCATTGTTTAACACCTCATTGCAGCTGACATATCCCCTGCAGCGTGAGTCAGCTGGAGGCTTGGCTGTGTAATTAATGCATAATTGAAACCTCCTCCACACAATTACAGGACTGGCTGTAACCCATAGCTCATGTTGGCATGGATTCTTCAATTTTTAGCCCTACAGTAAGTAAAAGAGACAAAACAAAGTAAAATCCATCATAACTTTAACACCCTAAATAACAAAATTAATGCTGTAAATGGAAGTAATTAAAAAGCACATTGTACATTGATCAACATGATTTTGAGAGATGCTTGGGTGGGACTGGAACTGTGTTCAAAATAATCTGATTGGAAGGCATTCACGATTCTGGCCGAGATGTAGCTTCTCGGGGCAGAGTTCCAGAGAGGAGTGATGGCTGGGCGGGGCCCCAGGGGGCTCGCCTGGCTCAGCACGTGGGCTGTGGGGAAAGAAACCAGGCAGAAAGGTGGAGTGGGGCCCAGCAGCACTGCAGCGTGACTCAGCCGCTGTGGAGCCGGCCCGGAGGTGCTGGTTCCTCTTTCCTTGGAAGACATCCCACTGCCTCCAGCTTCCACTGTTGATGACGGCAAGTCAGCTGTTCGTCCTCGAAGGAAGGCGGCTTTCTCTGGTGGTTTTACAGATCAGTTTACAGTTCATCTGCTCTCCCTGGCCGTAGATTTCTTTATATCCCGCTCTGGGAGTCATTAGACTTAAATCGGAGGCTTGTCATCGGTTCTGGTTCTTCTTAGATACTGCCTTTCCCCTGTTTTGTCCTCTTCCTTCTGGGACTTCGGTGAGCTATACTTCAGACCTCTCATTTACCATGTCTCTTTCTCTTTTCAAAAATGTTTTATTCATTTTAGAGAGGAAGGAAGAGGGAGAAATAGAAACATCGATACTTTATTTTTTTCCATTTTTTAAAAATTAAGCAATGATCTTTGGTCAGTGCATCAAAGAAGTCCTTCATTGTCTTTTGACGGTTGTTTCATTCACGACCCCTCATTTCCTTGTGTGTTTTTAGGGTTTATTGAATGTTTTTCATTGTTTTCACTTGCTCATTTCCTGGGAATTGTTTTTCCTGGAGATTCTCTGACTTACGAAGGAAGGTGGGGCATCTGGGGAAGGTTTGCACCTGGCGTCTGTGAGGCACCCCTTCACGCTCCGGGTGAGGGGCTTCACATCCAGACATTCGTTTATCGCATTTTTTAAAACTTCAACTTTTGTTATTTAAGAAAAAGGAAAAGCAATCTAATTTGCCTAGTTACATCTCATTTGCATTACATTATTTTTTTGTTGAGTTTATTGGGGTGCCATTGGCTAATAATGTATTGGTTTCATGCTATAATATATCATGCGTATATTGTATTGTGTGTTCACACCCCAAGTCAAGTCTCCTTCCATCACTGCAAGGAGCAAGTGAAAACAATGAAAAACATTCAATAAACCCTAAAAAACACACAAGGAAATGAGGTGTCATGAATGAAACAACCGTCAAAAGACAATGAAGGACTTCTTTGATGCACTGGCCAAAGATCATTGCTTAATTTTTAAAAAATGAAAAAATGGACATCAAAGTATTTCTCCAAATGATGTGTATCCATCCACCGCCTTGGTTGTGCGGTTCTGGTTGTATTCGTTAGAGTGCTTTTAGTTGTAAGTGGTAAAAACCAACTCAAAGTAGCATTATCAAAGAATAATTTATTGGTGCAACGTCACTGAAAGTGTGGCTCTGGGCACCGCTGGGCTCAGCGCTGGAGTGATGTCATCAGGAGCTGGCCCCTCCTCTCAGGCAGCTCTCCCCCGCAGGGACACGTGATCAGCAGAAGCGTGAGGCCAGCAATCACTGTGCAAAGACAGTGCGTTTTCCCAGGAATTCCCCAAACCCCGGGGTGAAGTCTCGCAGGCGGGGCTGGGAGAACGTTTATTCTGAGCCATCACTGTGCTCGGGGCTGTTACTCTTGATTCAGGCCCAAGAGGGGTCTAGTGGGCATTGGTGAGATTGCCTCTCCTGGCAGTGGCCATGGTGAGGGGCGGGGAAAAGGGCGGGCGGTGGGCTTACTGCTGGTTTACCCTAGTGTCAAACTTGCCTCCTGAGCGCCCTGGCTCTGTGGGGGAGAAACTTCTGTGAGGTGCCCGCCCGCAGAAGCGGGGCTTTGCCCCTCTTCCAGGGACCCGGGGACGTGCAGGAGAAAGCAGAGCTGAGTCTGACTATTGACCAGCACCTTCCTTGGAGAGAATCTGCACTGTTTTAACTCCTGGGCTCCCTGCTTTCCTGCCGGTGCAGTAACCTCACTCCCATATTTGTCTGTACATGGATAAATGTGCCCATAGGTAGGAAAATGTCGTTTCCTAAAGGCAGTAAAGTGATTATCTGGGCGACAGTTTTAGATGACGCGGCATTCTTGACTTTCCCAGCAGATGTGACGTGATGTGGAACAGCCAGCTCACCAGTGCTGTCCGTCACCACGTACCAGCAGCCTTCAGGTCACAGCATTAGTGTCGCTGGGTGGCGAAGCCAGTGTGGGGGGTTAACCTTTTCAGAGGATTCTAGCAAGTGCAAGTTCTCATGTGTCCCCTCCCCCGTGTCTCCCTGAACTGTAGAAGCAGAAGGACCCACACTGAGTGCGCTGATGGCACCACCCCATACAGTGGCAGGGCGCACCAGGGCGAGGAGAATGTGCCAATGGACTTAGGAGATGTGTGTATGTTTTTTACAAGATTGTTGTGAAGCGCTTTGTGATCACTACCAAGGCTAGAGCTGGCAACAGTGCTGCAGGCGGCTGCAGTCCTTTTGAGAATAGGGCTGATGGTACAGCAGAGAATTGACCTGCACAGATTTGCTCCTTTACTCCGCTAAGTCGCCGCAGCATTTACTAAAACAGGCCATGGGCACACACAGATTGAATTTTCTTACTTTAAAATTTGCAAAGCAGCCCTGAAACCGGATGGCAGTTCCCTGGTTTTGCGGAGGCGCACACCGCGACGGGCGTTTTGTGAAGTGTGTGGCCGGGCTGAGCCACCTGTCCGGGAGGCGGCCTCGCCAGCCACATCGCCTTCATTTGAAGCCACCTTTCTGTTTACAATTCTGTCTCCCTAATGGTGCTTGGGAAATCAGGCTCAGTGCGGTTTTCTGTGTAGCCTGGGAGAATGCTGAGTGCGGGTGAGCATACATGTGTGTGTGAGAGGCACACCCACATTGACTTAAGGCTGAAGTGAGCTTCGCTCCACTCGACATGCAGGGGGAAGAAAGACCCTTGCTCTTCAGGCATCACCTCGGCATGCAGATCAGGTGTATTTTCAAAACCAAGGTTGTTGATTTAAAGCTCAGTATTTAAGAAATCACTTCAAAATAGGACTTCTTTTTTTATTTTTATCACATTGAACCTTTTGGCCTTTTCTCTGTGTTTTCAAAGATTTGTCCCATCGGACGAGAAGAAGAAACAGGGCTGCCAGCGAGAAAACGAGACGCTGATACAGAGAAGGAAAGACCAGATGCAGCCGGGGGGCACCGCACTCAGCGTCACGGTTCCCTACAGAGTCGTAGACCAGCCCCTGAAACTCATGCCTCAGGACTGGTGAGATATCTGTATTTCCTACCTGGCCCGTCATTCCTGGGATCGTGGATTTTATCACGAGGTATAAATAGAACCTGTTTGTGAAGCCGTTGCTAATGCCTAATTTGGTCATCATTAATATAGTCCAGCGCCCGGCTGGTGTGGCTCAGTGGTTGAGTGTTGGCCAGTAAACCAGGAGGTCAGGATTCGATTCCCTGTCAGGGCACATGCCTGGGTTGTGGGCTTGATCCCCAGTAAGGGGCGAGCAGGAGGCAGCCCTTCAATGATTCTCTTTCTTCATTGGCGTTTCTCTCTCTCTCTCGCTTTCCCTTCTTCTCTGAGATTCATAAAAATATATTTAAAAAATATATAGTCCAGTGATACCTAATCAAACCTATATTTTAGGTAGCTACACTTTATTTCACTTAAAAGAAGAAACACTAACTTCTGGAAAACTTGGTAAAAATTCTTTCCACTTGTCCATTGGTTCTGGTTCAGCTTTTAGAGTAGAACTTCAAGCAGACTAATGTTGTGAGGGCCTATGTTTTAGATTTTAGATTCGGAAAATTCAGATTTCCTGGTAAGAAACGGTAAGTGAAGGCATTGCTACATTTATTACAAGGGAATAATTTAATAAAAAGAATAACGTGATCACCCTGGTTTAGCTCTTTTATTATGTTGAAGTGTTCTTTAATAAAATACTGAGCTATGTGTAATATAAAGAGACTGTAACTGAAGATACAGGAATTAATCTTAAATTACTTTGTTAATCTAAGCTGCAGAGAAAATACAAAGTCCAAGAGTGCAGCTCATCTCTGTGACGTGGAGCAGTTACTGCATCGGTGCAGTCGACGAACTTTCCCTTCAGAGTGTTTGCTGGTCTCAGACATAGGAGGTCAAGCTGCTGGCAGTGTCAGTGTGTTCAGCGTCCAAAGCACAGAGGGCTCCTGTGTGATGGCTCTCCCCACAGCCAGCAGGCACCGAGCACACAGGAAGGGAAGGAGAAGAGTTTCCTGTGTATCAGGGCTCAGGCTTGCAGAAAGTAGGAATGTGACCTGTTTGCATGACGTTTGGAGCTGTTGCAGGGGGAACCCAGCAGCGCGCACAGGCGCCAGGTCTGCGTCCGTGTGACTGTTGACTGGGCTCCTCGCCTCTGGCGCCGCAGCCTGGGAGTAGCATCCCGTCTCCCCTTCACCTGTCCTTCCAGGATTCCCTGGGACGGGTCTTCCTCTTGTCCTGCTGCCCAGGGGGACCTGGCAGGGGTCGGGGGCTCTGGCCAGCAGACTCCCTGAGGTGGCAGGTGCCGGAGCTCCCAGCTGCTGCAGGGGCACGTCACCTGGTCAGAGCAAGGGCCGTGTGTGGTGCTCCGTTAGTGGGTGGGTGTGGCCCATGCAGCTCAGGCCCCTCGAAAGCGGGCATTTTCCATTTAGGATGTAATTTCAGTCTTGGAGATTTTGAGCAGGTTACGAATTGTTAGCTGTGTTTTTCACAATAACGGATCCTTCTTGTAGGTTTCTTACTTGAATAGAAAGTTTGCTGTTTCCGTGGATGTATAGAGTTATCTGTGGGCCTCAGGGCATTCCCAGGACCCTTTCCAGGAGGCGTGAGGTCACGTGATGACACTGAATGCCATTCTCATGACTTATCAGTCCTCACATGGGGACAGGAGCACACTCAGTACACAAGATTAATCATCTCTCTCCTCCCTCTCCCTCCCCCTCTCCCTGCTTCTCGCCTGCCCCCACACTTGTGTTTCCTCCTCCCTAAATGGGCAAGGATGGTGGCACTCACCTCGGGAACTGTTTAGAAGATGCAGGGTGTTAACGTAAGTCACATGTCAGCTGCCGTGACCAGCACTGCACAGGGTAAAGGCACGAGGAAACCTCACCAATGTGAACGTTAGGGTTTTGTTCCTGCCTCTTAGTGGTGGGCTTAAACGGTTTATGGCAGTTGTATT